AGTGAGCTTTGTCATTAGTGGCACCGCCGTAGGCATCGTCTGAGGTGCGAACGTAGGCAGGATAGATCTGTAGGGACATTCTGTAGCTGGTAAGAAGACGGTCAGTATGGAAAGCACCTCTATGGATGATCGCCCTCTGATATTCAACTGACAGTACTGTCCACCAGCTCCAGACATGGTCATACGATATGTGCCAGCTCGAACTGCTCCAGTGTCGTTAACCTGAAATTTTTTGAATATACTTTTTGCACTTGTTAGGTATAGACTATAACGATTTGATATTTATACCTTTACTACTCCTAAATAGTTGGTGTCACTGGAGATGAGATTTGGAGGTAGAGGGATGCTATCTCCTGAAACTTCTGTACATGAAGCAAGGTTTAATACTCGCGATGAAAATGTTTATTAAGAGTTAAGTTATGCTAGGTTTCAAAAAGGTCACATTAGCCAAAATATCCAAATCTATGAAATAGCGTACCTGCTGGATCTGTCAAAGTCACAACAACAGGAGGGTTAACAACTGGATGATAGTAGTCAAGGGTAAACTCGTACATACCGTGCTCAACCTAAAGCAGAAAAAGGTATATGAAAGTATCCATTAAGGGATTTTCGGTTGGAGAGTTTGCTAATCACAACAATATCCAAAGTTCCAAATGTACCTGGAACAAAAACTCGTCGTAGTTGCAGTTAGGTGTGCCGCCGACATCGAGACCACCCGATCGGTACAAAGATGGAACATACTGTTGCAGGAAGTTTACAGTAAAATCAGTGGGAGACATCTATATTCGACAATTTTCGCTTTATCGAAAAAAATTGAGTTGCGAGAATGATGTATTAAGGACTTACAACAAAAACATCTCCATCACTATAGCTGGTAGCAGTGAAGAAAGCGTTTGATGATGGGGTATTCCATCCTTCACCACATGGTGATGATGTGCCAGTAAGCACAAAGTTAACCTGGATAAAGGTGTTGCAGAAATTCAACTTTGGTAAGTTCAGACTTACTTGAGCTCTACTCTCAGTCAATTGTTGAATCATGCCGTTGACAAGACTATAGTCTTCCGGTGAAGAGCGTGTGACAACGAGGATGACAGAGTTGGGGATAGCGAGATCTGGCATAGCCAGCACATTTTTTAGAGTTGCCATAATTGGACGTGGACAGTCTGGAAG